AACATATCACCAAATTTAACAAAGTGGTCTCTTAACCAGGAGTTGGACCTCTATCGTAGAGTTGGATTTTTAATGAGATTATTGAATAATTTAGCCTCTTTTGGCCGCAAACGTATAAGTGATTTTACTGATGTGATGACAAAATGAATTGTCCCGTGCTGTCTAATCAATATACATTTCTTCCTGTATGCTCCGTCATTGTTGACAGTCATTCCCATCATCGGGCCGTGCTGCTGGCAGATCTATATTGTAGACTGTAGAAACCAATTACTCTTCCTCAGGTGGTTGGGAGAGGTCGGAGGATCATTTGCCTTTGGCTCATGCATGAACTCTCCTGCTTGCTTGTTTGGCCAAAAAAGTTTTGAGACTTGGGTGTACTTTCTTTCTTTCTCTCCTCCCTCTCTTCCTTCTTCCCTTCCCTTCTTCCTCATCTGCTTCCTTCCTCTCTACCTCTCAATCTAGCAGTCATGCTAATGACCCTGCTGTCTGCCCTGGCGGTTGCTCATAACACAACTTATCAGCACCGAGCAGGAGTATGGGTATTTTTAAACTCTCTCTCTTCTGCACACGCACACACACACACACACACACACACACACACACACACACACACACACACACACACACACACACACACACACACACTTGCATGCATACACTCTGTTACTATTCAGCAGACTCGTAGGGAACCTGTGCTGAGGTCCAGATTGGAAATGTGATGTGTGCTAATGCATTCAGAACAGAGGTGAGGTCGCTCCTCTCCCTTTCTGTAAGCCAACAGTGGGAACACCAGCCCCCAATATGGTGAGCTAGAAAGGGGAGCACACATATTACAGTGGCTGAGTAATGAGAAGCATGAAGTTATTCCACATTCATACACACACACTCACACACACACACGGGCCAGTCTGCAGGAGTGTGTGAAGCAGCGTATAAGACTCCAGCAGAGTACTACCAGTGCTCTGCTCTCCTGATGGTGATGCTGTGTGAAGTGCGGAGCTGTTCGACACAGACTCCAGCTGCGGCTGCCCTGTATTCAAATGGCACCACAAGACACCATCACGCTGCCTCCTGGTTCTTATTAGACTCAGCCTCTCACTCTTTTTGTCTCTGTCTTTTTCTCTGCTCCAAAAGTCTCTCTATGCCTCGTACACCCACTGCATCCCACTTTTACTTTGTTTCCCCCTTTATCCCTCTGCTCTACTTGTCGTGTTGCCCGTCATTAGAAGAGAAATAAAGAGGATGTATTCAAAGGAAAAAGCTTACAAGGACCTCGGTATAAATGCTGATAGCCTTCAAAGAGAAATATAGTGCTCTGTCAGTGTGAACGCTACGCTGGCATGCGATTCTGAGAGTCTTAATGTGTTTTACATGCTAGTTGGTGTGCTGTGACAGCTAGTGTTTTCTGAAAGTATAGCAGAGGTGAGAGGAACAGACTGCATCCCTGTGGCTGTATATCTTTGTGAGTTGACTAATTTTGTGTGCATTTGTGTGTACGTCAAAACTGTCCGTGCATGCATGTAAAATAGATAAAAAAGGGATGAACAAGTTGATAGAAAGATACTAATGCATATTAGTTTTGTTGATTATAAGAAAATGAGAGAGGGCAGTTAAAGTAGAGGGAGCTGTATGTCAGAGATTTCTTGATTTTATGATTTATACGTTATATTTCTTTGTCTTAAACAGGATGCATTGGCATATCATGAAGTCGAAAATGAACAGTACAAAATTTGTTTCCTGTATATACACTCGGTACACAAGTGTAAACAATGAGTCAGCTATTTACATGCATGCAGGGCTGAGGTGCTGTTGCGGGACAAGGGTCAGAAGTATATATTAATATAGTTGTAGGGTATAAACTTCAAAAAAGTCTCTGCATATTAAACTCATAGTGTAAGATTGCACCAAAAATATATCTTATTCTAGATTATGTCCTGTAAAAAACAGTTTGTATGTGGTCCAAAGGAAAACAAAACATGTACATAAAATAAAAATATTGAATTTAAACCCTATATTGGTGCTCCAGTCCTGTCTTTTACCCAGTACACATTTTTACTTTTTTTTAATTTTTACAAAATTAGAAATACTTTAAGCTGTTAGCTGGGCAAACACAGGAGGAAGGTTAAAAAGTGTCGACATAGTTTACATTTTCTTGTAAATTTTTTGTTTTTATGCCTTGGCTTTTTTATTGAATATGGACAGAAATCATTTGCAAACGAGCGAAATTAAAGCAAAAGCTGATAAAGGAAACAAAAAAAAATATCGTATACATACCAATAACGGAAATGGCTGTACCACTTCCGCTCCGTAATTTTCAAAATTATTTTGTTTATTTTTCACCTGTCGGCTACCTGCGTAACTACGTGCCTCACCTGCCTCCTATCCTTTCCTCGGTAAAGATGTTTGCTCATCCTGGAGCGGCTTTAATGAGGAGGATTTCTGTGAACAAGTAAGTGTCACAACCGTTTTCCAGTCAACTTCTAACTCTAACTTGTGAAAGTCGAATATGCAGCGAGAATATGAAGCGCTTTGTAAGTAGTAGGCCTACTGTTGAGTGTCCTCCCGGGGATGAGTAAAGTTCTTCTTTTTCTACTATCAAGTGTTCAGTGTGGGATTACCACTCAGTTCTGCTTATGTTAACCACTGACTCGTTAAAGTCGGACTCTGACAAACAGGAGTGATTAATCAAATTAATTAATCATAGTCGAGCTCACTGTGGCTGTTTCAGGCCCTGGATTATAGTATTTGGATTCTTGCTTGCAGCCATGGCTTTCCAGAAAGTTTGGCCCTGACCAAAGCCTTGTTGTGTTCTGTCTGTCTGTATGTTTCTGCACAAGAAGTTTGGTTTCATCTCACTGTCTTGCAATCTACATTTTCAGTGTCTAAATGAAGAATTATTGAAAATATTCTGAATGATAGTTCAGCCCTTTAGTTTAAGGTTGTGCATGCTATGAGTGTGAGATTCAAGTAGCTGGATTGGTTAATATCAGAACTTTTCGTCCACGTTTGGTTATTAATTATGCGTTGTAGTTTGAATCTTATCACTAATATTGTATTCATGTGATCTCACAACATGAATTTTCCTCTGCTTGGTGATGCAGATAATGAGCTGTCCAAATGATTTTATAATGTCAGAAATACTAAATGTTCTGTCCCTCGCTGAGTCTGACTAAAGTGCTTTTACAAATGTTGTAGATGAATCAGCTTCACATAAAAAGGAAAACTTGAAATGTCACTTATTTCTTAAAGTAAAAAATGAGACTGACACCCTATGGTCAGTTCTCTGTGCCTCTGTACCCTATGTGCCTTGGGCCCAGCACTTTATTCAGTTTAGAGGAGCTGCAGCTCATTTACAGAGAGATCCAGGACACTAGTGCATGCTAATGGGGCAGCTCCTTGGACCTGCAGTCTTATCACACAACCAACTGTACCACAAAGGAAATATTACTTACAATGACATGCAGACAGCAGAGGGGCTGAGGAGAGATGCTGTAGGCCACACAGTCGTAAACGCTCAGTATTGTATTCTTTTAACAACAAAACAAATGTAATGTGAACATTTACCTGCAATGTGGCGTATGGTTCATGTCAATTATTTGTAAAACTGAAAATCTTGAATCCTATAACAGACACCGCTCAATTTGTTTTGGTTCAGAATATAAATACAATAATGTAGATATAATTTTTAAGGCACTTAAAAGTAGTTGTGTGCAGTAAAAATTGAAAATGCGATCAATTGTCATCCAAAGCGATATTGAATCAGAATCATTGACAAGATAATGTAATGAAATTATATCATGAGAGTATTGCACAGCCCTTGCAACTATGCGTCTGTGACACTGCTGAAGTCTTCTTTTTCTTCCTCGCACTTCCTCCTGTTACTGTCTAACTATATTTCTTAGACTCATATTTATGTGGATGTCAAAGCACAAGCGAATGCACCTATACTCAGACATATACACATCTACATGCACGTACACACACGCACAGTGGGAGTGGGGCCCGCAGCTCCTGGGTGTTTTGCGGGTTGGATTCACACCGATGCTTTCTCTGACTGAACTATTGTTATTTAAATGTGGGAGGGCGATCAGCAGCAAGCATTAATGGCATCCTCAGCACTGTGGATGGAGCTGCAGACACACACACCTGCGCACACAACAGTATACACACATAGACACTCATACACATGAACGTGCAGACTCACACTTTTACGCAAAGCCTTGTGGATGCACCTTAGGGCCATATGAATAACAAATACCTCTGCCATCTGCAATACCACAGAGTATTTTCAACCATTTCGGCACATTAGTCAGCAGTCCTTTGACTTAGGCACTGCACGCACGAGTTGGTGTATTAGCAATGCCCTCCTCCACCGCGATCCACCAGGTTTAAGGGAGCAGTTCGAAGAGAAGTTTGTTTTCTAAGATTAAGCTTCACGTCCCCACTGATCTGACCTTGTCCTCCTGATTTTGATGTAGTGGGAGGTGCTTGAGTTGTTTTCTGCGGGGATGTTTTGTACTGTCAAGGCCAATAAGAGCTAAGCTGGAATACCTGTGCTGATGGTATCATTTTAAACTGGTGAAGACCTCCCCCACCTTACTGACACTGCCAGAGTAAATGGGATTAGACAGGCACCCCTGGCCATTAACACTTGATCCTTACCTGCTTGCTTTCTCAAAAGCTATAGTTAGACATGAGACCCCCTGAGTCCTCCTGGTTTAACGGTTTGCAGTTTTTGATCTTCTGGGATCTAATTCATGGACAAAATGTCATATCTTCTTTGCTACTGAGTTATACCAGCGTTTAGAGTAGGGTTAAAGCTGCTTAGAGCTGAGGAAGTGGCAACTATCCCACAGGAGAACCAGCAAGCAAAGTTGTCAGACTTGTTTCAACCCCACATTTTAAGGTTTATAGCCAAACCCAAGACCTTCTTGAAGATCCTTCCAAGTTGCTGGCCACCTATATTTCTCTTAATGTGGTTTATATCTGTTAAAACTTTAATATTTGTTGAATTTAAAAGTGTAATGAGATTATTAAAATAAATGTGCATTAACTGTTCATTTACTTTTTAATAAACTCGGAATAAACCTGTAAAGTATTTTATAAAGTAGGACAGTGCAGTGCCCTTTGTTCTTAGTGCCCCAATTTGGCCACCCCTCTTAAAATTTTACCTCTGTCCCACAAAAACAGTATAAAATAAGTGACTCCCACAATGGCAGATTAGTGATAAACTGGAGTGTAATGTACAAAGATAATGAACTGATAGACAACTTGTAGAGAGTCATAGCGTCGGATTTCTCATATGACGATGGTTTGTGTGCTTTAACAGTTTGCTAAACGTCTTTGTTTTAACTTTCATCTGTGCTAAGTAACTTTAGCCTGTAAGATAACCTGTTCAGATACAACATACCATATGTATTTTCACTGTCTCAAACTCAATCGCATTGCTGTCACAGCACCATTAGGTCTCGGTTGTTACCTTACGTTTATGGATTATAGTTTAATGTGCTTATCTGGTACTGGCCCAGACTCAGTACATGCTACAGAACACGTCTTTTTTCCCCCTGGGAAAGTCGCAAAATCGCATCAGGCTCGATGTGTATAGTCAGGTGCGTCAAAATTCGCCTCTGAATATTTCATAATTTCGTGTCGTACATTTGCGTCTTTCCCGGTGTGTGAGGACCTTAAAGATCGAGAAAATTGACAATATCATAGAATCGCAATTTCAATCGAATTGGCATCTAAAAGATCATAGAGGAATAAAAAAAAAAAAGCATATCGTCCCAGCCCTATTAAAAAAGTACCTTCAAGCTTCAAAGTTTTCCTTTTTAGCCTTCAATGCAGTAAATCAACACAGGAGCACTTTTAAGCATGTTTGAATATCTTGTATCATTCCCAACTCAAATTTTGGCAGATCCAAAACCGTGTGTTTGGTCCTCAAACTAATCATAGATGGTCTCAGGCTTGTGTGTCTACGCATTAAGCTTTTTAAAGTAATCAATTAACTGCAAAGCAACAGATTTGAGTGCAATTAATCAAAAACTAAAAATGCGTCATCTTCCAAAATTTCCAATTCATGTGAGAGAGAGATACTGTATTAATTTCTTGAGTGTGTACTCGAAAGCATCACTTAGCTGTGTTTATTTTTGGGAGACAAAGATGGTATTTGCATAGCTGTGCTATATCAGCGTGTGTGTTCAGATCTAAGCATTTTGTCGCAACAAACAGGACTTTGCATTTTTGTGTTTTTGTGTGTGTTTGCAGGAGTGCATTTGTTTGAGACTTTGTGTGTGTGTGTTGCAAAGTGTTGTCAGAAGTGATCCCATTTTCATTACTCACTGACTCAAAGAAGGAGGTGAGGCCCTGGCTCGCAGCAGTGATAAATGCATTACCCCAATAAACCCTGTCTCCACTGAGGTGCTGAATGCTGACACACACACTCACACAAACACGCACACACACACACACACAATGAGTAATGGAGAGAAAAAAGAGGCTGGCGACAGAAAGAAAAGGGATGGATAGATAAAGGGAGTAAAGAGACAATCAGATGGCAAGAGAAAGACAGTGACAGGTAAGAGGAGATGAGAAAGAGGAGATTGAGAGAGAAAAAACAACAGCGATGGGAAGGTGGGGGGAAAGTGACAGGTGCCGGGGAAAAGAGAGCGACAGGAAAGAGGGTAGACGGAGGAAAAAGAGGCAGACAGACAGGAGGGAGCTGGGAGGAGGTGATGGGAGCAGAGAGACAGAAGGTTAGGGGTAGAGGGGTGCTAATGGCTGTATGCAGAGCGGGGCTGTGGGGCATACGGTTGTTGCGGGGGCACAGAGATGTATGTGTGGGAGAGGGGGATAGAGAGCAGTATAGATGGAGTGATGGTTAGGAGGAGGGAGGTGGGAGGTGAGGGATCAGTGGTGTCCAGCTGGCCTCTTCCTCGGCCCCTCATTAGAGCAGCACAGGTCTGTCGCGAATAGTAATCGGGGGGGAGACAAGGGGGAAGATGTACATACTGTGTAGAGAGTGTGTGTTTTAAACAGTGTGGGTATGCTCGAGTGTGTGTACACACAGTTCATTCTCACTTCCCAGCAGACTTGCAGTGGTAGTTAGTGTTTGAGTGTACTCTGACCACAGTCGCTGTCTTTCTTTCACTTTTTTCAAACGGATTATCAAAACTTCAGAGTCGTCTCTCTAGAACAGGGAGAGTTGACCCTGACCTGTGTAACCAGGCAGCTAACAAACAACACAACAAAGAAGGATCCAACTCCAGAGTAGGACTGGGCAATTTGGAAAAAAGAATGATCATGATATATTTTGTCATATTATCTGATCTCGATTATCATCTGATCTTGATTATATATAAAAAAAAAAATTTAAACTGCCAGTTTTAAACTGCCAGTTTTAAAGCATCTGTACTAAAAAGGTAACACTTTCGTAATTACAGTACACTTAACTAGTATCGCTACGCAATCTTCGCACGCCCATAGGCTGTATAAAGTGTCAATCATAGAAAATAAGAACCCCAAATAGCTTTTGAAAATGGAGCTGAACAGAAAAAAGAAAAACTAGACAGTATTGACTTAGTAGTTATTATGTAATTACCAGATAATTTCATGTTGTTACTAGGTAAATTACCTGTTAATTACCTGGTAATAAGTGTACCGTAAAAGAAAGGGTTATCCTAAAAACTATTGAAACTAGGGATTAGTTCAACATTTCAGTAACATACAATGTAAATAACAAAGCAAATTGAATAAGATAAACTCAGAAAAATGACGTCACTTTGGAGATACCTGAACCCACTGCCACACAACTGATGTTGAATAACCTTTCTTCTCAACAATAACATCTTCAGAGGATGACTCAAAGTCATGGCTGACATCTATTCTGCTGCCCTCAGCTCCGCGTTAAGCTCCACATTCGGTCATTCTGTTTACGTCTCCGGCAACTTACTGAAGTGAGCAGGAAAAGCTTGACTCTGAGCGGCAGTTGTCACGCACATTTCTGCCATGTTTGATCCAGTAAATGTGCTCACAGCTGATCACTGTGATCGAACCGAAATTTATCACAATCATATAATAGACCAATCCTACTCCAGAGTTGGTTGTGTTTACGTTGATTAAGGCAGACAGCTTACATGTACTTTTCGAACAGCACCAAAACAAATTGACAGGCCAACAGACTGAAACGATGGAAAAATTATTTATCTTCTGGATCCATCGTTTTTCCTGTTTTTGTAAGCTCAAAAAAAAAAAAGGCCATATCGCCCAACCCTAGATCAATCTTTGAAATGTTGGGTTTGGTAGCTGTTAGGAAAACTTCTTCTCATGGTTACCTAAGTCAAAGTAGTTTAAAGAATGGGACCATTGACTAAGCTGCTGGATTTGACAAGCTGACAGTGACTCGACTGTAAGAAGGAGCAAATACAGTAAATGTAGTCACTGATCACAACAGGGAGTCCAAAACACAAGTGTACATCTGTAATTGAGTGCATGTGTAAGTGTGTGCAATAAAGTGAACATGTATTGGTGCTTGTGTGTTGCATTGAATGAGCTTGTGTACATGGATAAAATGCACATTTATGTATACAGTAGCCTAAGGGGAAAAGTGTGTGTGTGTGATTCATGTAAATATACCTGAGTGTAATTATGCAATAGTGTGTGTGAGAGAGAAAGTGAATGGATTTGAGTGTATATGCACTTGGCATGGGAATATTTAGATGAGGGTCTGTGTGTATGCAGTGTGTTTTCATGAATGAGAATGACTTAGGGTGTGTTAGCTGTAACACCTAATCACCATCTCCCTCCTTCTCTCTCTCTCTCTCTCTCTCTCTTTCTCTCTCTCTTCTTTGCCTCCCGGCCCAACACCTCTGGTAATGAGGTGAGGGTTGGAAGGGATCAGAACCCTTAGCGAAGTGGACCGGCCCATCCTCAGTTGTGACTACATGCAGGTCAGGCCTCCCTCATTAGCCGCCATCACAGTGGCATCACAGGCAAAAAAGTGCCAGAGTGCAAATTGAAGACACCAAGTTCACTAAATCAAATCAGAACCTGAGACCCCACTGCATCTTAAAAAAAAAAAAGAAGAAGAAGAAGAAGAAGGAAGTAAAGCAGCTTTTAAATTCCTTTTTGGGATTCTTGAGAAATTAGAGAAGTCAGATGTGGTGCGTTGGAGGGGGCAGATGGGGAAAAGAGAGGCCGAGAGGGGTGGAGGGCAGAATACAATTAAAAGGGAGCAGAGAGTCAAGGGGACTGACCTGGTGATGGGAGGGGAGAGGAGGGGAGAGAGGGCAGTTCTTAGTGCACGTGCACCACATAATGAAAGGTTGAACTTTGTGTGGCCGGGGTGGCATACCAAATCGAGTCACCCCGGGAGTATTGAGAGAGAGTGTCAGGAAAGAGGGTAGAGAGAGCAGACTGAATGGTGAGAGAGAGAAGGAGGAAGGAGAAATGGAAACAACAGGCGACCCAAACTAAAGAGGCAAAGGCGAAGGAGAGGCTGAGACTTTAACGAGGGACGAGGAAGGTAGTGAGAGAGACCCAAGCTGGGAGGGACGGAGGAAGGCAGACTGACTCGCCGTGCAGAGAGGAGGAGGATGGAGAAGGAATGGAGGGAGAGACAGAGCGAGAGAGGCCCCCGCTACATGGCTGCCACGGGGGCCTGAGTGACAGAAATTAATAATTAGTGACAATGATTGACAGCGCTCCCTCCATCTGCGGCTCTCCGCCGCCTCACAACGCCTGCCTCCGCCAGCGACCGCGGGCACAATGAGCTCCAGAGGGATTGTGGGAGACGCACTTGATTGACAACTGCCTCCTGGAGAGACAAGGAGAGGGTGGAGGGGGGTGGGCAGGAGCCGGGGAGAGAAAGGATGGCGTGAAAGAGAGGAGAGGTGGTGTACAAGAGGGGAGGGATGGAGGGGAGAGGTGGATGACAGGGGCAAGGGGACAGAACAAGAAAAGGAGGGTTGGGGGGTTTAGTAAGATGGTCAGGGGTTTTTCTCCTCCCTAGATTGAGGGAGGAATTGCTGCTATCAACTCCTCTCAGTCCTCTCCTCCATTACTGTCCCCGCTTTCTTCATCACACCGAGGGCCTCTCTTCCTATGATCTCACCTTCACCACCACTCCCCCACCAGTGTATAGCACCGTTTTGCAGAAGTGACGAATGCACCGCAGAAGGAAAGAGAGAGATAAATAAAGAAGGGAATATGAGAAAAGGGGGTTGAGCCCTCGGGTTTCAGGGGTGAGGGGAATAGCCTGTAAAAAGTCATCAGCAGGGAATTTGTCACTCTCTCTCTCTCTGTCCCTGCCCTGCCTCCGTTTTCTCTCTTTATCCTCGCTGCATCCGTCCGCTGCTCCTGTTAGCCATCCAAAGTGCCTTTCTCTTTAGTGTCAGCGCTGACATCACAGCGTCCCGGGTTTGCTAAGTGTTTTGTCTTTCACTGGAAGTGAAAAACATCTGTGCAGAGAAGTGAAGTATTACACGACGACTCATGTAGAAGCTGAATCTTAATCTTTTTTTTCTCTTGCATATCTTGTTCTCTCTTTGCCCTCCCGTTCCCCTTTTCTTTCATTTTACTCTTGTTTGATCCGTTTTTCTCCCTCTGGTGTACCTTCTCTTCATCCCTTTTTTTCCCCCCCTTCCATGCCAGGCCTGTTTCAGCCTGCCTTGACATGGTCTGGTCTAATGTGCTCCAGTACGGCTTAATCGCTGCACAGGTCTCCAAGGCTTACTGCTACACACTGTAACAAAGTACACTATTTACCTCAGGGCCACACAGAGAATAGGCTCACACGGAGCACAGCCAAATCCAGTGGGGAATCAGTTTCACATCACAACACATTATTGATTTTTCCCCCCAAAACAGACATGTTATTCATTGTTGCCTGAGCCTGGTTTCCTATCTCTCTGTCCCTTTCAGAGGTGGGGAGAGCCTGGTTTCCTATCTCTCTGTCCCTTTCAGAGGTGGGGAGGGAGCTCAGGATTAAGGTCATGCCCTGGAGGTAAACACACCAATGTTTCTTATAATTCCACTAAAACTATCCATTTTACTGGTTAATGGCTATTTGTACTGTTACTGGGAACATCAACTTTTATGTTTTTTTAAGTCCGCAGGTGCGATGTAGTATCTTGCACGTGTTTTATTATATCGCACGTGCAATTTAGTATCTCGAACATGCGTTTTATACGTATATCATACATGCGTTTTATTTGTATCTTGTGCATGCGTTTTTGTAAATAATCCTCCGCGCCTCATTTGTGAGAGAAGAATGACAGTGTCATGGACAGACAGCATACTATCAACATTTTCCTTTATTTAGGTATGACTCACAAAGAGATACTTTATAGTTTAGCCATATTTGCGATTGTTGAGTAGGAGACACCTCATCAGGATCCTTACAGCACAGCAACTTTTCAGTGGGCGATATTCGGACTAGCAGGAAGTGATTTTGTTTATTAATGAACAGTCAAATTGCACTTGGGATATGTAAGGATGCCTAGCCCATGTTCACTCTTTAAAGAATGGAAGGTCCACACAAATGATCATTTTGACAAGCTTTACCGGTTGCAGATCTGGGTTACAGCTTCATCATGCCACAAGTGTAACAAAAACTGGTCTGAGACTGTTCAAGTATATATAGTCGTCCACGTTTCCAAACATTCTGCTTGCATCTTGTTGACCTGAAGGAGAGTCCATCATGTAGGGTAATAACAAAGCGCAACATATCTTGGGAGCCTGAGTGATGTTGAACAGGGGTACAAGGTCCTTGTTTTATGATGGGTGTCGGAGGCCCATGGCTCCAGAAATCTCGCACCAAAGTATCCAAGGTATTTGAGTGACACAGCTCCACCACCCTAAAGGCTGACACAACTTGCTAAAGAACATCACCCTAACAGAATATAATAAAATGCACATGCAAGATACTAAATCGCATGTGTGAATTAAAAAAAAAAGTTCATGTCGCCTCCTGGGCTCCGTATAAAAGCCTTATTTTCAAATTAAAATGTACGAAGGCAGAGAAAACTAGCTCACTATTCAGATTACTATCTGTTTCATGTTGTCACAAAATGTAAAAAACAAAAAAATAATAAGACAGAATAGGTTATCTCCCTGATCCGATTTAATGATCAAGTGTTGTTTGTGGGTATCAAAATGTACTTTTCCCACTATTTGAAAACATAAAAATGCCGTGAGTTAATTCAGTTTCGAACATTTGTTGAACACGTTTAAATGTCCTTGAAGGTCCCTCATCACTTTCCTTCTCTCTGTTCATGGTCCAGCTGAGGCGTGTAACTTTGCCGCAACCCTTTACTCTTTATACACACACACACACACACACACTTTAAAACACACACTCACACACATCCGCACTCCAAACAGACGGCACAGAACACGTGGAGTTGACAGCTGGTAACTGCAGGGCCCAGCAGGTGCAGTGTGTGTATGTGTGTGTGTGTGGATGGCCCCAGAGGGCCCCTGACTCATGGCCAGAGAGGCAGGCAGAGGTGTGTGTGTGTGTGTGTGTATGTATGTATGTATGTGTGTGGGTGTGTATGTATATATGTGGGTGTAATAAGGGGGGGCTGGCTGACTGACTAGCCTGGAGTTGACTTCACTTCAGCTTCAGTGATTGATTGGAACCGGTCTGGACATGGGCCGATGTTTTGCCTTTGGTCACTACCTTTGACTACCTTCATTACATCAATACACCTCTCTCTTTTTTGACTTTCCCGTTTTGTTTTTATTTGTGTGTTCTTGTGGCGTTTTTCTAACTTTGTAAAGTTCACTTTATGATGATAATCAGCACAGGACAGACATGTTTTCACCGATGCGGGAACGTCACTCTTTTGTCTGCTTTATCAAATGATTGTCTCGGCTTTAACACGGAAAGTTTGGATAATTTGGTTCACACTGAAAACTATTTATCTCTATTTCCAAGTGTGTTTCCTTCTCTCCTCCTCACAGATCTTGTTCTTGTTCTTGTTCCTGGTCAGTTTGCCATTTGATGGAGCTTGCCATACCTCCCGCCTCTGGCTATGGTGCCATCTTGAAAGGCGCCGCGGCACACACACCTGGCCCGCCGGCTGCCTCTTTGGTCTGCCTCACCTTTTGTCAGCACCATGTTAATGAAGGCCCTGTCAGTGTCCACCGCTCGCACGCCGGGGCGCCTTTTAATGAGTTTGCTATTTGATCGCTATAGACACCCTGCATGAACGCTGCTCTTTTTTTTTTTTTCTTTTTTTCTATCCCTCACGGATGATGCTCCTTCGCTCTTGTATGTTCACAGGAGTGTTCGTGTGTGTATATGTGTGTGTGAGGCTAAAAGGGGGGAGAACAAAAAAAAGAGGGGCTGGTCAGCTGATTAGGACTATTTTATAATAAAAGGGGGTGGGTGGTGGTCTTTAAAAAAAGGAAATAAAAGAAAATTATTATTTTTATTCCCCCCTCCCTCTGTACCCAAGTGAGTCATGGCTCTCTCTTTTCAGGGGTAGATGAAAGCAGCTGGGCGCAGGGCTTCCAACAAAAAGTGCCAAGCGATCACAAACAAACCTTCAGATGAATCACATCAAAGGCGCTGCCCCAATTGTTAGCCCTCTCGTATCTGCGGAAAATTGGCTCATTAAGGGCAAAAAATGACATTGTTTACATTAGCCGAGGCCCTGATTAGTGCCAGCCATGTTTGTTGTGTTGCTCTGCTGTCCGCTTACCAACAGACCACTTCAGCCACCCTGCACAATCGCTCCTTTGAAGGCTTTCTTTCTCTGGGTAAAAAAAAAAAAAAAAAAAGGAGATAGAAAGAGTGAGGACAACAACAACAAAAAGAAGGAGAAAAAACAGAGTGGAAAATACATCCATAAACAAACACGCACACAAACACACAATTGTTCTATACACACACATAAATGGACAGGATCGCTGGTCCTTTCTCTCTCTCTGTGCCTCTCTCCTCTTTCTGCTCATCTGCTTTTTCTCTCTTTAGGACTAATTAGGTTGCTTGTGGAAATGGAGGCGATAGGAAAGGACAGTCAGGCCAATGATGAGTCTGTTTGTGCTGTAATTGCGCTGATAAAGAGGGCTGTGTTGTTGGCGGCGAAAGAAAAGAAAAGAAAAGAGCTCGACAATGAAAGGGCCAGAGGCTCTTCTTTGTGCCGCAGCCTCTTCTCTGAGAAAAGAACACCTTTTGTGGAGCGAGCGGGTTTTGTAAACTGAGATGATTTCTAATCTGCAGAAAAGTGCCTTGTGTTTTAGACGGGCACGTGTGTGTTTGAGCTTGTGCATGTTTGATCTCTTAGATCTGAGGTGTAAGGGTCCTTCTACCTTCTCATCTCCCACTTGAACTACTCTACCCTCTTTTCAGCCTCGTTTTTTAGGTTATTTAAACCATTGTTAGAGTTTTTAGAATAAACCGAGCACTAGAAACCGAATTGAGATGACATTTTTTTCTCTTTAATCCAGGAATGACAACGTATTATTTTTTTTACCAGTAATTTATCGCAGAATTTCAATAGTGGATTGCAGTTAACCATGTTTTTGATTGCATGTTTAAACTAAAAAAAAAAAAAATCCACATTTTAACACAAGTTTTATGTCTGTATTAATGATAGACCAATCTTGAATCTTAATGATCTTAACTTTAAGATTTAGATTTAGACTCCTTTATACTGGCATCTGCACTTTTCAGGTGTTACAGTTCGGTTACTTTGGTACAGCTTCATTGTTTCCAGCAATAATGCATACCTGAGGACGTCTATCAAATCCAAGTCTTTTACAATGTCGACTCATCTTCATTCAGTTTCCTCCCCTTTATTAAGTGTCGTATACTCCTTCAGTATAGTTTCATCCACTTCCTACACCCTGAAACCGTTCTTTGCCGGCTTTTGTGGCCTGCTGACGCCATTAGCTGCACTTGTACGGTATGTCCAACTCAAACTTGAGAATTTTGTTTCTGAGTCAGTTTGACACCAAGTGCATACTACTTGTGACTTGTCAACTGAGCCATCTGGAAGGTTTTCAAAGTCAAATGTGCTGCAGTGTTGTTATTTTCCATCACTGCGGCTTAACTATGGTGTGCCAAAAGGGACAAAAAACTGCATGTGATTAATAAACATCAGCATGCTCGTTTTAGATTTTAATTACATTGCAATATACTGTATGTGTTAACACTGACGGCTCTTCTTGGATCATTTCTGCAGAAATACTGATCTGAATCCACCATCGATTTCATGAATGGAAAAAGAAACGTGTTTTTATTTTGAGTTTCATAACTAAATTGACCATGTAAATCATGTAAAGACGTGGCATTTGTCCATCTTTTTGATTCTCTCTGAGACTCTCTGGCAAACTCTAACCCCAACATGCTCCCCTAATGAAGCATTTGACCTATTAAAATTCAAGAGGGGACATGTCATCTATCCAATCCTGGACTGGCAAGGATGAGAGAACAAGGTAGCGCTGCATGACAAAAAAAATGAAAGCGTGAAAAAGAAAAACTTGGGGAGTAAAACTTCAAGTTAAAGGTGAGCAGGTCAAGCTGCATCGCTAACGATGACGGCCGACCCAAGCTCGCCCCACATTACCCTTCACCTCCTGCCGCTCCCCAGGCCGCCTCACCTTTGCCCTTGGAGAGAAATGGAGTCTGAGGTAGACGAGGGGGAGGGATAGAGAAAAGCGACAGAGAACACCTCCCCCTCAACATAATGATAACCACTG